CTCTCTCTCTCTCTCTCTCTCTCTGTTGTTTTAATAAGTAATGGTGAATATTTTGGTTCAAAATAAAAGTTGGTGAAAGTTGGTGCCACTTCTGCTATCAAAGCAATCAGAAGTGAATTTTATTCCAATCCAATAAATATTCAATCAAAATAATCCTGCTATGGTGTAAAGCTAGATTTTTTTGTACTTTGGGGTTTATTGACATGTGATAACATTCTACTCATACTCGTTCTCATTCAGCATCACACTTTTTGTGTGATTTTTTTACACTAATTATAATATAAATAACTAAATAGATCAATTAGAATAAATGTGTTTTATGGCACAGTGTTCTCCATCATAATTACAATATTTTGATGATAATGACGAGAGTTTAAAGTTACATAGAATACAATTTGTGGCTAATCAAACATTTCTTAAGTGGGGTTTTGCTTTGGGTCTTCGGACTTCACAAGTTAAACATTTCCAAAATCCTGGCTACAGCTATTCTGTGGGGTAAAAGGTAGTTATTTAAATGACTGTGGGGTCAGTATGTGTGGCAACATAAATTAAAATGTGTGACCTTTCAAAATGTGACACAAATACTGATGACAGCCAGACTATCAAATTTATGTGAACATGGTAATAATTCAAACAGTGGCAATATATCAGAAAGTCCGATTCAGATCCCAGCCTCAGACCCAACATCACTGAATAACATGAATTATAATCGATGGATAAAGGTTATAGGACAGAGATGGGTGATTTGATTTAGTTTTACATAATTTTTAAAACGTTTTTTATTGTTTGTCATTTACATTTAGCTGTTCACTGTTTATAGCATCAATCCTGTGGAAAGACACATAAAGTGTGATGTTTTTGTCTGTGTTGTGTTTGGTAGAAAGACGAAGAGAGAGAATTGGGGTTCCCCCCCCCCGGCTGCTCTGAGATCAGCCTTTGTGAGTGGGTCTATTGCATGTTTCCACTCCTCTTCGTTGGCACCTTTTACCTTTGACATTTAGGCCAACACCCCACACATTCTTCCCTCAGCGGATGCTCCTTGCAAAGAGGCCACAGTAAAACACACAGTCCCCTGCTACAGGGGATTTCCCCTGGTGTTATACACGTGTTGTGTCATGTGTGTGTGCGTGTATTTGTGTCTGTCTGTCTGTCCACTTCCAGGGGACTCCCAGAGTGGCAGACTGAGGGGGAAGAACAAAACTGACAGTGAAAGTCTAAATAGCAAATCATCAAAAATGTTTTGGTTCATGTGTCTGCCTCTGTGTGTGTGTGTGTGTGTGTGTGTGTGTGTGGCTCAGGAGGACTCAGGTGCCATTCCTTTCAGTCTAATCCAGGAAGTTTGTCAGCAGGAGAGGAGGCCAGCAGGGAGCTCCGTTCACTTCTTACCTCCTGCATCTTACTGATTTTGTGATCAGCACATCCTGATGGCTCAGTGGATATAAACCTTTTTCACAGCGGACATCTTGACTTGTCATAGCAGGAAAAGCACAGGTGTTACTAACATTAACGGTGGCTTTGTTCTATTCAGGTGTTCCAGTGAGCCGTGACAGTGAGCCAGCATGCACAACACCAGGAACCTGAAACTGAAGCAGCAAAATGGAATTCAGTCTTCATTGACTTTATTGTTTACACCTGTGCTTTTAATACTGTGACATGTCAAAATATCTTCTGTGAATAAGGCCTATTCAGATCACAACCTACTGTATGTTTGTGTAAACCTGCAGGTCTTTCTTCACATGAACACATTTTGATATCATCAGTCTTAAAGGGGTCATTTTACATTTCTGAAAGGATTAGGATAAACTTTGCATTTGTGTGTGCGTGTGCAAATGTATTTGTGTGTGTGTGTGTGTGTGTATGTTCTAATGGGACCTCTAATTAAGACTCTGGGGGTATCTGCTATCTGTCAGCACTGATCGATTGGCCACAAGACTGACAGCTCACTGTGTGTTTGTGTTCTGTGTGCTCACATGCAAGTTTGAGTGTGTGTTTCAAGCTTGAAGCAAAGCTCTCGGCTTCGTGGTTGTGTTTCTCTACTTGTCACTCAGAAATGTCGCCGTCGTAGAACTAGGATGTTCATTTGAACACATACAGCACACAAGTGCACACAACCACTCATGCCACTGCAAAACTAGTGTGAATGGTCTCTTTATGCTTGCTGAATAAAAACACAGAGATATCACAATTCCACCCAGAAGCGACAGAAACACCAACACAAGCAGAAAAACAATGTTTAAGTGTGTTTCCTGGTTGTTAATTAAAAGCATTTAGGACTTAATATTTTATGTTGTGTGGTGTCACATTATGGCTCTTAAATGGAGCGAGTTCAACAGGGTACACTCCACACTTGTACACTCACTCTGAACTTTACTCCCCCCCACACACACAGTTAGAGGAGCTGTTCACAATTTCACTACCACAGTTACTATCAATCACCTGGCTATCTGAGAGACAAGTGTGTGTGTGTGTGTGTGTGTGTGTGTGTGTGTGTGTGTGTGTGTGTTAGTGCGTTAGTGCTCGTGCTGTTGCGCAGGAGGACAAGTGAGTGATGGCAGTGACAGTATAGATGGCATGTGCTGTGAAATGTCACCGTGGCGATCGATGGTGTTTAACGAGGCTGGAGGCTGATCTGGACCTCATGCTAACATGAAGCTGTCCTCGCTTCCCTCTTCCTCCCCCTTCTCACTCTCCTAATCCCCCTCTACTCTCCGTGAGAGCCCAAGGGTCCCTTGGGGGAGAGGCAAGGCCTTTTACCTGTCAAGAGGCTTTTGCGTCTTACCAGACAGACACACGTAGTCAGAATATAATCAGCTCAGTTTTGGCCTTTTGTTTACTTTTAAAAAGTCTTGAAACACTGTAATGTTTGGATTTTTTGGCATTTTGTGTGAAAGTCATGTAATTAAATAAAAATCAAAACACAGGACGCAGTCGGGCAGAATAATCAGAACTAGTTTATGATTTCAAAGTGCTGAACAGAAAATCCAGTGAACCAAAGAGAAAGAAAAAAATAATCAAACAGGAAACTCAAACCAAAGAGGGACATTGAAAAATAGCAACTTTTTTTCTTTTTTGTTTCTCTTCTTCAAAAAACAATGCACAACTCGTACCACAATATTTGAAAAAGCTAAAAACACTTCAAAATATTAGTTTTGTATATATATATATATATATATTTATATTTATATCTATATAATTTGATTTTTTTCATATTTCAAACTGCCGCCGTGAGTGTGAGTGGGTGGTGGAGGCCCGGGGGAGATCCCCATCGAGCCACATTCTGAGACACAAATACAGGTCGAGCTGTTTTGACAGGCTATGGCAGCTCTTGACAGCTTATAACACACCATGCATATGATCCTGGCTTCTCTAAGCGTACACACAAAGACAGTATGCAACCATGTCCTCCACACTCTCACACGGCCTCCACAATAGAAAGAAATAGAAAAAGAGCATGACTGCGGAATGTTTCATCCCTGGACATACAGCTATCTGTCGAGCACCCTCCTCTCCCCGACTCGCCGCCGTCCTCCAGGGGAGCAGGTAGGGTGTGTGTCTGTGCTTCTAGCCCTTGTCAGGGTGTAAGTGCTTCAAAAGCCATTTTTTTGTCCATGTTCATTCCTCCATACATCTACTCGACCTATGCTTTAAAAATGAGTTAATTTTAAAAAAACATACTAGAGCAAGTTCAAGTCTGGGTGACTCTGTCATCAATCGTTAGTGCACAGTATCTCCTCTGCTGTCTAAAGCCAGGCGTGGACTGTCTCTCTTTTGTTTAGCTGCTGATAGAACAAGACGAGTCTCTGTGTTAAAATAATTTAGAGTTTGAAATTAAACCGTTACTTCTCCACTTCTTCCTTTTGTGGTGAGATAGCACTTAAGAAATTGCACTTGGAATCAAGAGCCCAACTCAACAGCCACTTCCATGTGTTGATGAAATATCTGTGTCTGCTTTGTGATGTTTCTGAGTGTCTATGCTCACGCTGTCTGACCTCTGACATTTCAGTACATTTTCAGTATGAAAACGCCCCCTTCCTTCTTTCAGCAGGATGTAGAACACACAGCGACTTGTGTTTCACTGGGACATCAAACACAGTGACACCACCCCTTCCCTCTCTACTCAAAAGAAATCCTCATATTGGATGAGTCAGGCCAAAACACAGATAAACAGTAATCATAAACCTTCTTTCTTTTTTGCTGGATGAGCTGCCACCCAGACGGCGAGAGGACAGTAAAATGTCTTTTTTCTGTTGTCCATCTCAGCCTCGTCATCCTCCCCCACATGAGAAAAACAGGAGGATCAAATAAAAAGTGGTAAAGCGTTTGAGTAATTGTCTTTTAAACTGGTGAAAAGTGTTCAGTTGGTTGTCCTGTTGAGTGAAAAGCATTTGATTGGCTCTCTGCTCTGCATCAGTCAGAGTGGAGTGAGAGTCTCTTTGAATGTGTGTGCGTGCTCCTTGAGGGGTGGGGGGGCCTGAACAGAACGTGACGTGGGTTATTTCTCTGTGTAGTCAGCCCGCCCATCAGTAGGGCAGAGTGTCCAGGAACCTGTCAATCAACGGAGGGGGCTGTACCAGGTCCTCCAGCTTCAGGTAGAAGATTCGTTGAAGGCCCTGGGTCCTCTGGGAACGGAGCTCTGCCCTTAAACCCAGGATACGACTCAGAGGGGGCGCAGCCTTGGACGAGGAGGAAGCAGGGCCGCAACCCAGGTGATCTCTGAGACAACAAATCACTCTATTCTGCAGCTCCTCAACCCGCTTTGAGTCCTTCAGACCTGGGACTTGCTCTGTGGATGGACAGACAGAGACATTAGGAAAATAACACATTAAACAGCAAAAATTGCATCCATTAAAAAAAAACAACACACATACATCAGAGCTCATTCAGCTGACAGAACATTAGCTACATCTTCTTTTATATTGAATTCCACCTCATTAGCCGGTATAGCTAATGTTCTTAACAGGCCTTAACTTGTCTCACTCACTACAGATCAATACGCAGTCTAACCTAATAAGCCCCCTGTACACTGTGTACACACACACACACACACACACACACACATACACACACACACACACACACACACACACACACACACACACACACACACACACCCTTATAGCCTATACAAACATTTGAACACACACAAACACACAAATTGTCCCTGCAATTTAAGACATTGACAGAAACAAAAGTGTTCAACAATTAGCTGATCATTCGGCCCTCTGAGCAGCCAAATTAAATTAGAAACACACACGCACGCACATACACTGCTGCCCATAGCAACTCCTGTGGCACCCGTACAAGGCTTAATGTGACACTAACTCATTCTGCAGAGAACAGGGTGTCCAGCCCCACACACAAACACAGATATACAGGCACACACACACAAGCCAGTCTGCAGGGAGGCTGTCACTAAGACCAGTCTCACTTTGAGGTATCCATTATCTGAAGCTTATTTATTGTTTGTTTATGTGACTCTTTTGTTTGTTCTGTGTTTGCTGCAACAGAGTCACTCCAGCACTCCTTTCACGGCAGCTTTCAGACCTCTCACACTCTCGCTTCCCTCTCTTTCCCTATCCCTTCTTTCTCTATGTACTCCCGGGGAGGGATCGATGACTGCCTTTCTGCAGGGGCCACTCTGAAGCGGTCGATCGCCTGGTGGCTCTGGCGGCTCTGTCGTGGCAGTGCTCTGTGTGCTTTACCGAGGTGGCAGAGAGCCACTGAGAACAGCGCAGACGCCATTCCAGAGCTGTGCTCCACGGTGGGCTGTTCGATCAGGCACAGAGTTAAGTGCTCCCCCAGAGAGTGAGGATGGGGTTGGAGGGCTTAGACAGAGGAAGAGAAGGTGGAGGAAGAGGAGGAGGTGGCGGGGGCCAAGTGAGGTAAGGAAGATGAGCGTAGGGAGGAGTGGTGTTTTACCCATTACACACTTATACGGTGGCTGACTCTGATGTGAAAGTGTAAAAAATGAAATGTGAACACTTAATTGCACAGGCCTCCTCTATCACCTTTGGCTACATTTGTAATTGACTATTTCTAATGTACTTTACCGATCACTACATTTTTGTCTCTTCTGTCGTGCCTCTGACGTGTGGTTGCAGAGAGAGCTTTGACTATCCCTCCATTTTTCACACATGGACACTGATTAGAGGGCCAGGTGTGTGGCAGGTGCAGCAGGTGCTCCAGGATATCGGGTTCTTGTTTCAGGCCGAGATGTGTGAGAACAAGCATGCACATGTGTGTCTTTGAGCGTATGTGTGACGTTAGTGGATGTATCCACCTGATCACTGTCACATTAAATCACCCACAGGCAAAGCTGTGGATAAAGGAAAGAAGGTGTGTGTGGATTTGTATCCATAAATTTACGCATGAGCAGCTTGCATGATTGACATTGTTTGTTTGTGGATAATGGAGAGGGGCAGCTGACTTGGAAAACAGGGTGCTTTTTTTTGTCAACCTCATTTATACTTTATCTTTTGTATTTCAATTTCTTCTGATGGTGATTTTGAGATTTGAAAGTCACTGGCTTGTGTTTTTACCTGTGAGCAGTACGAGGGCAGCCAGGCAGGCGAAGGCGGAGGCGTCCAGGTTTAGGCTCTGGAGGTGGGTGGAGAAGTCCCGGACGGAGTCCAGCCACTCCCCGAACCCACGAAGGCACTGGAACCTGTGCAGCACCAAGCCATTACAGAACACTAGTTTATCCTCCGACAGCATCGACCTGAGACACAGAGGGGAAAGGAGATGAAGAGATTTGGTTAGATCTCTCTTCCAATGAAACGCTGCATTTTCCCTCATGTATTGTAAATATGGCTTGAGATACTGGGGCAAGGAAACAATTACAATAAAAACAATGAGAAAACCAGGCAGTATGCGCACTTACACACAAACGGGATACACATCAAACACAGGCATGCAGCTGATTGAGGTTGTGTTTTCCAAATTATAGCATTTTAAAACATTCCTTCTGGCGGAGCGGGGTGAGTGGGTTAGGGCAGAGTGCTGCTCTATGTGTGTGTGTATTTGCAGATAGGTAAACTGCTTTGGCTTTAATGTGCCCGGGCTGTGGTGAGCAGTGGAAACACAAAGCCTTAATGAGGAAATGAAAAGGCTTCTTAGACGCATTTAGCAATCAGTTACTCACGACACACAACATCCCACTCCTTTACCGTCGAGCAGAGAGGGAACGAGAACAAGCAGTGAATGGGGGAGGGCTATGACTAGTCTTTATTAGTGCCTAAATGAAGAGCGTGGCTCTCTTCAGAGAGCGAGAAAAGGTGTTTTGTTGGAAGATCTCAAGAAAATGGGACAAGGGCAGAAAGTGTGTGCTTGAAAAACAGCTGATAGATGAGAGAAGAGAAGAGTGAGCGACAGTGGGGATGGGGGGAGAAGAGGGGAAGCCTCAAATCACATCCCGCACATAAACATTGGTTTAGCAGTTATGAGAAGCGGACAAAATACCATTTATGTATAATTATCCTTACTGCAGTTTAAAAGAGGGACTCCACCCACCTCAACAGAACACATGCACACAAATGCTCTCGAACATCACCAGTTGTGTCATTTTTACAGTCAAAAATATCGTTCCCATCCTATACACACAAAAGGTTCAGAACTAGCCGTCAGGGCCAAAATGGTCACCCATGACCCGGAGAGAGGGGAGGGGGAGGGGAGAAACAACTAAGTGTAAAGGGGAGAATTTGAATAAGAAGCAGGGAGGGGTGCAGGTGTTGGGAGAGATTGTAAGTGGCAGAATGGGAGATGCTCATCACCTGTTGCTGAGGGAAGAGACTGAATTTCTTGACCTCTGATAACGTTTTTATGCTAATGGTCGTAGACTTTTGACCCCTGGAACTTTGTTATGTCCCTTAAATTCCCCCTTAAATGGCTTCAATGTTTTATGCAAACTATAGAGTCTTAAAGTTATGGTGTATTCTCGATCTGCCCATTGTATTAGTGCACTTATATGAACCAAATTTCATTGGCTGCATCTTTTTTTTATGTAAACATATTAGACGTTTTTTTCATATATTTTATTTACAAATTTCCATCAAATGCAGCATTAAAAAATGTGCATATTTGGGATTTCTAAAAAAGGTTTTGTGTTTGTGAACACAGCTTTTTGACACTATGCATTTAAAATTATGAATTGAGGGATAAATGTCGGCAAGGTGGAATATATTTAATCTTTTATGACAAATTAATGTAAAACTGAAAAAACAACATGTTAGGTATCATAAACATTGAATATGAGGCCAACTCACTCTACGTGTGTGTGAGTCCGAGCTGATACGGTTTGAATTGCCCTGATTGAGTAAATCCCCCTCTGGTACACTGAGCTACTACCAAGAGACAACATTATATTTGACCCATGTCTGACAGTAGCACATGAGCAAAACTACGCAGACAGGCTGGCAAACAAGCAGCCAGGCAGATGCACACAGACACACACTCACTCACACACACACACACACACACACGCTCGTACACACACAGCTGGATGTCTGCCACACATTCCACTCACTCCTGACTACACTGTCACCACGGTAATCAACCAATAACCACAGAAACTGTTTGGTAACGGGGTGCTTACGGCAATGCCGACCCAGAAAAGCGGAGCAAATTTACTCTACACACACTGAGCACACACACACACACACACACACACACACACACACACACACGCACACACACACAAACTCACAATCATACAGACATATGCTTGAGCAGAGGTCTGCAAGGCATCTGAGTTCAGCACAGGGTCAATGTAAGGCTGCGTCAACGATGAGATGGGAGCGTGGACCTCATCCTCTGCACTCGCGGAAGACAGATAACGTAAGACAGTGCTGTGCTTGTGTGTGTTTTCCTCTGTGCCGTGGGAGTTTGGCTGATGGGAAGATGAGCAGTGTGCGTGAGCATGTGTGCGTTTGATAGAGGCCCCTATGAGTCCACCATTTAGCATGAGTCAGAGTCGCAGCCTGATCTCCCTCCTGCTGGGACTGTGATGCCACCACCCATCCTCTACCCACCTTGCACCTGGACCTGCACCGGGAGGAGGAGAGAAAGTTGGGATTCTACATCATCAGTGTGCGTGAGTGTGTGTGAGTAAGTGTGCTTGAGTGTGTGACTGTGTTGGTTTTCTGCACTAGACGACAGCGCAGACAAAGGGATGAGCTTGTAGCCCAACCCCCGTCCTCCCCATAAATTTAACCAGCCACATGCCTTACGAGAACAGACCGGTAACCCGGGGCAATTCTGAGGCAAAGATGGGCAAGGGCAGTCATAATGGCACCACAGGTATCCACGAGCAAGACACACACATGCTCACACACACACCACTGGACGCATGAAGTAAATTAAGTCGATTCCCTTTTTTTTTTTATTTCAGTCAGCTGAATTGAATATGTATGTCCTTCCATAACAGCCCTTTTCAGTTTCTCAGCTGACTAACTTTTAGATGGAATTGATCCTGTTAATTCACAGTTCACAATGTTTGCACAGTTTTAGCCCGCAGAACACACACAGAGCTCTCTGTGCGTCAGATATCAGACGAGCGGAGCGGAACTCTGTGGGTGTAGCTGCTGTCATAGCTACAGACTCCATTCATAATTTGCTTCAAATGGCGATTACTCAGCTCCACTCCTACTCTGGATGTGCACTGCAGCAGCAGCACAGTTACACGCTGTACTGTAATGGAAAAGGATATGGCTGATATAACTGCCTGTTATCCTTTCTGATAAAGTCGTAGGTGTGTATTTTAAATCTTGTGGAAGAAGTTTGAGATGTGCACGTATGGATGGAGACTTGTGTACATGTTTAAAAAGTGAAAATAAATGTGCTAAAGTTGTCATCCATCGGCTTTTTGTCCTGGCACCAAACAAGCTGCATCTCCCCTTTCTCACCTGTGAGCCAATCGCAGGACAAACAGCTCCAGGAAGGCAGAGTCAATGAGCAGGTTTTGATCGTCACGCTGAAGCTCGGAGAACCCGGGAAGCCGTTCAGCCCAGCATCGTGTGGTCTCCATCGACATGGTGAGCAGCCTGTAGAAGAGCTGTATGTGCTCGGCATCTGAGGAGGAGGAGGGAGGGTCGGCAGCACTGAACTGGTGGATGGAGAGAGAGATAAACGACTGAATAAACTCTTCAACAAGCCATATTTCTCACTGAACGCATTTTCTTTGACTAAAATGAAAAAAAAGGGGGTGTTGGGGTACCTGGCTGTAGTCGAGGTCACGGGGTGTGCAGTGAGAATAAGCCCTGAGCAGAGCGGAGAGCAAGCTGAGGGGTGGAGATGGAGGAGACACTTCTGTCTGCAGGGGGCTCTTTGGTTTGGAAGGCAGACGGCCTCGGCGCCCCTTCAAGCTATCAGTACGAACCACTGTGAACAAGATATGGAGAGTAGACAACAGGCAATAATGAAGAGGTTGTTCAGTTGAATCTGGTAATATTCACGCATGCATGCACAACAAGAACTTCTATTCTCCAACTGATAGGCTTGTCATCACTTTTTTATAGCGGTATAATTATGACTGAGGCTTTTCATCACAGTAGCTCTCCCAAACTTCCCACAATCCCTACACAGGAGGCCACTAGCCAGCAGATGGCAGTGGAGCTGTTCTACGGGCTGCAAGTGTGTTAACGGGATAGAGAGGCGTGTGTGTAGGTTTGCTTGCATTCCTGAGAGCATGTGTCTGTGTGTGAAACAGGTGAGAAATGAGGGCAGTATGACTGCCACACTTCACATCAGCAAAAACATCTCTGCTGTGCAGCAACAGTCAACAGTCAGATGTGATGACACAAATGTAGAGAAAGTGTGAGCGCCTTTGAGTCTCTTTCAAAGCTTTAAAATCATCTGGATTGAAGAGTTTAAAAAGTGATGGGCGCTAATTGGTACAATGTGAATTCTACTTCCACCAGAAAGAGAAAAAGTTACTGTTCCATGGATGTGTGTGATGCTGCCACAAGCCATGCCATTACCGGCCTATTAAACCCTGATTGCTGAGACAAGCTTCATCATCATGGACTGGAGGTCAGAGTTGTGTTGCACTGGTGTGTGTGTGTGCTTGCCTGTTTAGAAAGTGGGTATCAGGTGTGTGGTCGCTTTGTTTATCTTACCTTCCTTCACCATGCCGACACTCAGACACTTCTGAAAGCGGCAGTATTGGCAGCGGTTGCGTCTCCTCTTGTCCACAGGACAGTTCTTACTGGCCAGACACACATACTTGGCGTTTTTCTGCACGGTGCGCTGGAGAGAGAAGAAACAGACATTCCGATAATCAGCCTCCAAACACAATCATCCAACTAATATTTGATTTGTTTAATTCAATTTCGTTTTTCCCCCCTTCCCCATCAAAGAATGAAAGCAGAATCTCGCAGGTCAGATTTTAATTACGCTCTGAAAGGCGGCGTTGACATCAGTATAATTAGATAAAATTAATTTCCCAACAAGCCTCGCCTGCAGGATGGACGATTTTATTAGCGCTGGAGCTGACAATGGGGACCGAGCGCGTTGCGTGCCGAGGCGGGTCCCGCGAGACTGGGGGACAGCGACCGAAAGAGCTGCGTGATCAGATTGCTTGTGAAGCTCGTGGGTCAGTTCATGGTACCTCCGGGGCCTCGCGCATCGCGCCTCTCTCAATGGGTCCCGCGGGAGCTGTTTTCTCCTCGGCTGGCTAGCGCGATTATTACTGACCTTATTAAAATGAAATCAGAAACGGGCCACGTGGGGGCCGGGTGAGCTCCCCGCGTGGATCAAAGACAATATTAACAGAGTGGCCTATACCTGTCCGCAGTGTGATGATAATGCAGGAGAAGTGTGCAGTTTGTAAATATATTATTCTTAATATGAACAAACCACATAAATATATTCAGTGCTTGTGTAACTTTGTCCGGTGAGGTCTACTGGCATGCTGCCAATCTTTACAGACGTTTTTGGATTAAAACTCTCTGGGCAAGCCTCTGCCTGGGGTGCAAATCTGTTACAACGATACGATTACAACTACACCATAATTACTGTCATTTGCAAAGTGTTTATATTTATACTCTGCCATGCTGTGACTCCAGTAGTCCACTCAGACAAGACAGCACCAGAACAAACTCCAAATTAAGCAAACGGAACACGGAAAGTGTCGCAGCTTCCCCTCTTCTTTAACGCTTCTAAAACACATCAAAACAAATAAATCCAATTAGGAACCCCTCGCGCCACACATGCCCGCGCCCCCGGGAGACCAATAACACACCAATTATTCCATATGCTCCGGCGCGAGTGCGGAACTGGCGCGTAATGGGCGCCAGCGCCGGATGAGAGCCGTTGCCATGGCACCGCAGATCGCTCTGAATGAATCCCTCTCATCCCTTCAATGGTCAGTGACCCGTGCGCGCGGGGATAAGTTAGTTATGGTCATTAATGTGTTTGAGGGGAAATAGCATCCGTTTAGTGGGGGACCGAACTAAACATGAAGCTGCATGAGAGGCTGCTTGACATTTATTTACACCTTTACAACTCTGCACCGAGGCGAACACAGACTTTAAAGACATCGCCACAGCCTTTCGTGCTTGTCGTCCGACAGAAAAATCAAATCAACATGCTTGAGTTCAACCTTTTGTGTGAAGTGATAACTTTGAGGTTTGGATTTTAAGGTTCAACATGATTCTTTCGTTTGCAATAAGAGCTTGTGTTTTTTTCTGCAACGGTTCAGGTGAAAGTGGTGTAAACTGAGTTTACTCTGGTGGTTGGTTGAGGATAAATTCTTCCCCTCAGTGACCTCAGGGCCACTGTATGTGTGTGTGTGTGTGTGTGTGTGTGTGTATATGTGTGTGTGTGTTTGTGTGTGGTTGGAGCTCTTGTGACCTTGCTTTCTAATAAGCAGCGTGGGGCAAGACTAGCGTCTCAGAGCAGAGACACTACATATCAGAGCTAATACACTGTAACTAACTAGTCTCTGATAGTCAGATCAAATTATCTCAATATGGTTAGCAAATCTGTAGATCCTTCTTGTGCTCTGTACATTGCGTACCTATTTAGGCCAGCGTATAGTGTATGTGTGTGTGTTTTGAAAGCGTGGCTTATATATTGTTCTAGTTCAATTCATCTCATCCTTCTTGTATTTACTTGTTGCTGAATTTCACTTTGAGGGCAAGAAATGAGTAATTCAAAATTTGCTTGGTATCAGAAACTGAAATTTTAGGGTGGCAGTAATGTTTGTGTGGGCAAGGACTGAATTCAAGTGAAAATATGTTCAGTTAAACGTTGACAGTCAGAGTTGAGGAATGAGTTATAGGCACTGAAAGCACATTCACAAACGCACACGCTTACAGAAGCTCACATGCTGTGGGTGTTATGGGGGCTGTACGGAGGCATGCAGAGGCAGATTCTTGACATGTAACATGTGCTAATAGCCTGAGCTTAAATTAAAAGCCTTTAGGGACTTCCTTCCCCTTTCTCCTCCCTCTGTCTCCTCTATTCCCTCCAATCCTCAGTTTCTTAATCAGAGGCAATCTCTCTCTCCGTCTGTAGAGGAAGTGAAAGGGTGGTTTGTAGTTAAATAAATATGTGTGGGTATCTCTGAGCTGATTCAATTGTATTCTTTATGGAAAAAAAATAGACTTAACTTTTAAAACCTGATTCTTAGTGCAAAGTAGTTCTCCTACACATATAAGTGACTGTGTATGTGTGTGGGTGTTTAACTGGTTGCATTTCCTGAATGAATTAAATGTTGAACTTATATCCATTTAAGTGATATAGTTTTGTGCATTTTAAAATCTTCTTCCACCACTGCCACCTCCCAACCTTTTTGTGACTTGCATGCTGTGCAAGCAGTGGAAAATCTAAATGATGTGAAATGAGCTGAGCTGATGTTTTGATGTGTTTTGACTGAAAAAAGCACAACTAAAGTAACTCACTAGTTAGAACAGTATAGGTGCATACAACATGTCACTTTTTAATAGTATGTTTTGTGCGCAGCATAATGTTTGTATAATACTAACAGCTGAGATCTAGTTTTTAATTCAAAAAATAATTCTGAATAGGTTTAATTAATTAATGGAAACCAGTGAATGGACTACATTATTCTGTAAACAAAAAATAAAAAATACAGGAAAAAAAACCTATTTGTTTAAGAGCTAAAATGAATTCACAGTGAAAATGTGCCTCAAATTGCACTAATGACATAACAACAAATTACAGCAAGCCTCTACTATGGTTTAATGAGTAATAGCCATTCACGAATAATTAAATATAATCAGGAAAATATTTCCAGGGGACAATAAAACCATCAGGATAATGGAGGTAATGTGCCTGATAATATGAATATGAAAAAGAGCAGGTGTTCGAAAGGCATGTTTCTGTTGCTGCTGTTGCGTCCTGTATTCAGGGTGAAACAGACTGAAAAACATGTAGCCTACATGCTTATATTGTATGAATATGCTGCTGTGTGGATATGTTGTGTGTGCATGGTTGGTTGCATCTGCATGTGTGTGTAAAGGAAACATAGTGAGGTTTGACAGGCTGCTGAGCGCTGCAGCAAGCAGACAGCCTGCGGCCTGCTGCCACCAGACGCTGCTTTCATTAATTACTAAATAAAAACAAATTGTGAAACTAATTGAAAAGAAGGATAATTCATTTCCACCTACCAGAGGCATTATTCAATTACCTCTGTGTTCGCCCCCTCCTTCTTGCTGTATCTTGTCTCATGCAGCCAATACAATGCTAAACAAGTGTGCCAGAATATGTTAGAATTCAAAAACTGGGCAAAGAAATGACTTCAATGACTGACTGTGAGTTTGCTGTTATTTGAATGAGGTAGTGTTCCACATTCACGTGTCAGAGAAGTTTGTTAATATGTCTAAAAAAAAAAAAAAGTGATGTTTACCAATGAGTTGTGTGTATGAGCATGTGTGCGGTGACATAGGATATGAGACAGTGAGCTGAGAGGCGTTAGATTTGAATCATTTTAAACTGACTCATATTGTCCTCAGTAATATGTCAGTGAAATGTGGTCAATTTCGTGGCCACCGATTCACTACAAACACCCTGAAAGGAAACTTAGATTTAAAGGAGGATTCCTTTTCCACCTGAATCATAGCATGGAGGGCCATTTCCCCTGTTTGTATTCGTGTTTTTCATCATTCTGTGTTCTCACCTAACAAACGCACACAGACCATGCATACACACAAGTTGCCCACTTGGTTGCTGGGAGAGACGACCCCGGTGGGTGAGTTGTGCTTTCATTCTGACTCTAAAGACGATTTAGAGAGCATAGAGACGAGTGCAGAGTGGGAGCGAGGCAGCCGCAGGAAACATGTTTCAAATCAAACAAGTCAGTCAGTTTACAGCTACTTCACAGGGTGATATTTTAAGGGGGAATGTTAGTTGTGAATGTGTGCGTCTGGTTGTGTGTCTGTCGGTGGGACTTAAGCCACAGAGGAACAGGAGTGGGTACTTTTAAGAACAGTAAGAAGAACAGCAGTTACTTCATAAATGGACAGAGGCATCGTTGTAGCAACACTCCTCATGACATATTTGCTTTGAGGAGTTTTTACCTTGAAGAAGCCCTTGCAGCCCTCACAAGTGCGTACGCCGTAGTGCTGGCAAGCTGCATTGTCCCCACACACCGCACAGCTGCCCTCTCCTTGGGGGCCACGTGGGGGAGGCGATGGCAGGCTGTCTCCTAGTAGGGGGCCACAGGGCCCAAGAGCCAGGGAGCGGAAGGCGAGGCTGCTACCCCCGGCCCCGCGGTGCAGCTGGTACATGGGCTGCTCCAGGGGTGGACAGTGAGGATGGGAGACAGAGGAGGAGGAGGAGGAGGAAGAGGAGGAGGTGCGAACCAATCCTCCACCCAGGCTCTCATAACCGCCGCCACTGCCGCCACTGTGGGGAGGCGAGTGCTGGTAGAAGTGCGGAAAGCGGGGCGACTTGAGGGGGCCCGACTCCAGGCTGGAGCCCAGAGAGTGGGGGTGCGAAGGAGGGGCCAGGGGGTGCTCCTCCCACAGGAAGGAGGTGCCAGGCTGGGGCGGCAGGGACGGGGTGGTGGGAGTGGACGGCGGAGACTGTTTAAAGTACATGGTGGAGGAGGACATGGCCTCCAGTGGTGGAGCAGTCGGATAGCTCTCCTCCTCCTTCTTGATGGGCCTGTGTGTGGGCATCTGGTAGAGGCAGGAGGACTTGGGCTCGTAGCTCCCCTCCACGAAGACATTGAAGCTGGGTAGGGAGGTGGTGGCGGCGGCAGAGATCTCACCACCACCGAGATCCAGCTTCGTGTAGTCAGGGGTCATGAGGTCAGAGCTGTAGCTGTCGCCCTGGTAACTGAAGGACTGGCCAGAGTAGGCTGAGCCTGGAGGGACGGGCCCGTACTGAGCCTGCACACAGGGCATGTCTGCTAGGGAGACAGAGGACACATGTAAGTTAGAGCTGCGTGGCACGTCAGACCACATGTATTCCAAGTTTTCAATCAAAGCATTTTATTGGTGTTAGTAAAGTACAGCTGTACTGCAACAAATAGTCAGTGAGGAAATTACATATTAGTTAACCACCGATGTAAACAGAAAAGCAGGACATCAAGAGGGAGCTTGCCCACAGAAGACAATACAGGAAGAGCCCTGCATCTATGAAGGCAGACACATGCAGGGATAGTGCTGAACAGGGTCAACAATTAAACAGTGCATGACTAAAAGTTTCTGCACAGCTTTATTGGAACAGGCAGTTTTTTCAGCTCTTGAGGTGTCGGAGATTTCGCAATGTTATAAAAGTTTTCTGAATGCACCTTTTAAGGAATATGAAAATCTTTCCATTTGGTGCCATTTACTCAATTTCCTGCTTTAACACTTCTTGCACCTCCCTGAATATAGAAACATTTGCAGTACGCACACACCGCCGCAGACACTGCCGACTCTCCCACAGTTAGTTCAGTAAGAGAAGTTGCAGTTCATCAGTGCGCAACTCTGAGAAAAAGCTGTCAAAGCAAAGATCCAATCTACTCCACAGAACGAAATGCTGAAGTATCTGCAACCAGGGTGTGTGTGTGTGCAGGATTTGTGTTGCACGTGTGTGTGGGTGGGTGTACTCTGGTTAGTCAGATGGCAAAGCAGATGAGATAACATTAAATAATAATGGAACCCCATGGTCTTGCTGGATGCTTGCTGCAGAACCCACACACAAATGCACACACACACACACACACACACACACAGACTCAGATATTTCCTTTAACTGCAACAGACGCCAGTCGGTATGTCTTGAGTTTTTGGCTTGATTTAATTCCGTCACAGCAGCAGGCCACCACCTCATCATCTGTGTGTGTGTGTGTGTGTGTGTGTGGTGGACTATATGGTCTTGTCTTATCAAACCCCTTACGTAATACTCTCCACCAGTGTGTGTGTGTGTGTGTGTGTGCATGATGAGTGTGTGCGGGCTAATCTGTCATGAGTGTCAGCGCAGCCAGGGTTTTGTGGTGTTTGCTCGTCGCTCCTGAGCAGGGAACTGTCAACACAGCGCAGCTCTCATTGACGCCCAGCATGCGCGCGCTCTGCCGTAATCGCCCTCGTTCAACGCACGTCATGTTTGTGTAGTCAAATACGGGACACATCGGGTCCCGCTGTTGTTATAGCGCTCACAAATACCTCAATCCAGACCGACGCACTCAGGCTCGGTCAGGTAATCACAGCCCCCCCCGTTGTACATAAAAAGAGGTTTCAATCCTTTTTCAACAAAAAAGGATTGAAACCTCTTTTTGTAGACGTTATTTTGATTGGCCAAATAACGTCTACTAATAGGCTAATAATAATACATTTTGAAAATAGCCTACAACTTTTAGTTTGCGGTCATATGTGCCTAGCCTATACCGTGCACGAATGTCAGTCATGTCGAAAGCAGACTGAGTGACACATTCATTTCAGCTGCTCTAACACAATTACATCATTCCTGAGGGGCAGCCTGCGATTTGGCTGTGGGGTTTCGAAGAACAAAAGGATGACTCAAAATGTTAATTAAAGGAATAAGGGACACTCATCGATTTATTTATTATTTTATTCATTAATTTATTCTTTTTGTGGTTCTAACAAGGAGACAAAGGGTCAATAGAGAGCTGACCGCTTAGATTTGACCTGATGCAGTAAAAAATATTATAACCCTGAAATTGATTTTAAAAAGATCCCAGCCTAAAACAACACTTTTCTTTGAATATCAAACTTCAACTGTAAATGATTTCTTCAAAATGAACTGTTGGGTATAGCAGATAAAACATCTGCAGACAAACCTACATTTAAATGAGGATATGAGTCAAGCTGTAAGCCTACGTGTGCTTGACATCATCACGTTTGTTTTTCTTCTCATACGAGTGACCAGCTCTTCAACCCACTCGGAAAAACACACATATGGGCGTCATGGGGGCTTTCTGGGCTATACCTAAAGTACTTTTGCAACTCATTAGAGGCATCAGAGGAAGTAATTTAACTGTGAGCGGAGGAGAGTACATGGTGAACTTTGTGGCTCTCTGTGTTGTGTCAGTAGGTCAAGCCTCAGATCCGTGTTGGGCATTAGTGTGTGTGTGTGTGTGTGTGTGTGTGTGTGTGTGTGTGTGTGTGTG